GTGAGAGTGTGTGTGTGTGTGTGTGTGAGAGAGAGAGAGTGTGTGTGAGAGTGTGTGTGTGTGTGTGTGTGAGAGAGAGAGAGTGTGTGTGAGAGTGTGTGTGTGTGTGTGTGTGAGAGAGAGAGAGTGTGTGTGAGAGTGTGTGTGTGTGTGTGTGTGAGAGAGAGAGAGTGTGTGTGAGAGTGTGTGTGTGTGTGTGTGTGAGAGAGAGAGAGTGTGTGTGAGAGTGTGTGTGTGTGTGTGTGTGAGAGAGAGAGAGTGTGTGTGAGAGTGTGTGTGTGTGTGTGTGTGTGAGTGTGAGAGAGAGAGTGTGTGTGTGTGTGTGTGTGTGTGTGTGAGTGCGATCTATTTTTGATGAATTATGAACTGTTTCTGGAGTCTGCACTAAAACAAGTGTCTCCTGATGTCTGCGGTGTGTTTTGCTGTCGAGCTCGGCTTCACCTCTCATTAGGGAACAGAGATCAGGTTCATTAGGAGGATCGGGGGACGAGGGGCATGTTTAACGCAGGATGACATGAGCGGAGCGCCATCAAACCGCGGGATTAAAGGAGGAGTTTGGTTGGTCTAGAAAAAAACAGATACTCACCAAAGACTCCTGAGAAAAACACACCGAACACACAATGAGAAAAAAACACAACGAAAGCTTTGAGTGACAGCAGTTCATACAACACTCACACATCAAACCGATTATATATCACTACTATATATAATCATATACATTAATCATACAATTAGATTTATGTATATATATATACATGTGCGTGTATAAGTGAGGGATAATGTACAATCAGCGAACAAACCTTGTACATGATCCTGCTTATTATACGACTACTTACCAAATAAATCAACATATGGAGATGAAATACTGATCTAAGCATAAATGGTTTTACGAGTGAGCGTGAAGTGATTCGAGAGACGTGAAACAAGCACAGCGATGGAGAAAATCAACAAATGTTTATACAGTTATAAACGCCATTATTCATATATCTGATCAATCACAGCTCCAGAGAGATGCATCATAAACAGCTGAATATATTAAACATGCTTAATGCTTAATCAGAAACATACAGGGTGAATTCAGTCGTTATGTGCATGCTCTTCAATTCTTAGCACAGGATGAATCATAGTTTAAAAACAACGCCAACGGTCAATTTTCTCCCATATTCACCCTGAACGAGGCTATAAAAAGCACATCTTGAGAGCTGACGCTTACAGTAAACACATTCCCGTCATGCAATTTACTCCTGGCTGTGCTTAAAATCTCAAAGTAAGTGGTCATGTCAGAAACTACGGCCTATCCAAACACCGGCTCACTTCAGCAGCTTGCTGTGAGCGCGAGCGTAATCGAGAGGAGACCTCTGTCTCAGCAATCACTCCCTTCATTCAGAGTCCCGACGTCATCATCTGAGCTGGTCTGAAACACGGCCGTATCTCCACCATCACAGAGAAGAGGAGAAAGCCTCTGATGTACCTGATCGCAGCTGCTTGATTCGTCCTTGGCTGAGCGCCGGCTCCACGGGCAGAAAGTCCTTGAACCAGGAGATCTCTGGATCGGGAATCCCGCTGGCGGCACACAGCATGGTCGCGGTCCTTGTTCGCTCCACCACCTTCAGCTGCGGGCCCATGTCGATGCTGGGGAAGCCGAAGGGCAGCAGGTCCTCTGCAGGAGAGCGGAGCAAGCGTTTAATGAGACGCATCGCACAGGCATGAGTTTCTGCTGTGTTCACATGTTTCAGACAGAAAGCACTCACATGCATGACGTACACACCATAAACTACAAGAATAAGAGTCCGCTGAAACATTCCAAGAGACAGGTCAGAGTAAACAGCAGAAACACATTTACACAGCAGCGTTTCTATGCGTTCATCAGAAAACTGTCCCGATATTTTGATACTCTTATGTATATATTTATGTGAATTGCCGAGCGGCTTCCCTGCTGATAAATAAAAGACATTTGCATGTTTTGTTTCGGATTATGAAATATCCACCTCATGTGCCGCTCTTGTTGTTTTCTGTCTTGTAAAATATCCTGTTAGTATTATGGTGTGTGAAATCAGTGTGAGTGAATTACGCATGAATTCATCAAAATAAATCATAAAACAAATTCAGACCTTACTGCAAACCCTGGTTCTAAACAGCTGATTACCAGAGAAAATCATTCTCAGATCAGTATACAGTCATCATATTTTACATCAGTAAAAAGGGTCTGGCAACGTCCTTCATTTACATTTATGCATTTAGCAGACGCATTTATCCCAAGCGACTTACAAAAGAGGAACAAATGCGATTCGTCAAAGAGCCAACAATAATCAAAACATACAATGGCAGGTTTATTAGACAACTAGATTAGGAAGTGAGCTAGAAACAGAAGTAACTGTGAATATAACAGCCGGTTAGTCTCTCTGATGTCAGCATCACTGAGAGATTTGATATCTACACCTCAGGAGGGTTTGGGAAACCTGTCTGGAAACAACAGTGAGAAAGAGACTGAAACAGCTGA